AAATATCTCTAAGGAGGTAAGATGCTAGGATCTGTCCTGTCACATTCAACATTGTAGTAGTACACATGTATGTGTAAGAACAATTGTTTTTCCACGCTCAGGAATAAAATTCACTTTCTTTTTTTTTAAGGAAAACTGCCTGCCTTTTATACAGCAAACCTGGGTAATCTTTTTTTTTATAGCATATACAATCTGTAACAACGAATTTACCTGGGGAAAGGCAAGAACACCAGCAGGAGTAGCTCTCTGATCATAGGTAACTAGATCTATATGCTGTTAGTACCTTTTCCTCAGTTCCAGGATATCTAGGACTGATCTATATGGGCGAAGAGCTTTACAAAATCCTGTTACAACTCAAGTTCAAGAAAACTCATGAGGGGATTCAAATCAGAACCATCCCCACCACAGCTGCACATAGTACAAACTAGACTAACGGTACGCCTACTTGGCTTAGTGGTTATTGCCGGGACTATTGCTCCATCTTAAATTCCCATCGAGGATTTTAAACCAGTGGAATTTCAAGTTTGTTGTTGTTGTTGTTGTTGTTGCTGCTGCTGCTGTTGCTGTTGTTGTTTTAAATTTTATTCAAGAAATGTCTCTTTTAAGTGTACAGTATTGTATCGAGTAAACCAGTCCTCCTGTTGGTAGTTGTGAACCCATCATTCCAACATTATAATACTATTGTGTGCCACACTTTTAATGTTTTTTCATTAAATCGAAATCGACTAGTGACAAGTATCTTTTCAAAACTTGGACAAAGACCGTTCTTCCAATACAAGAAGAAATTACTTTGGAAAGCTGTGATAAGACAAAGATTGTACATTACAAAGTGGTTAACTAACCTCTTTTTACATCCGGTGTGATATACGTGACCATAGATCTAGTTTTTCTAATTTTAGTAAGAGTTTTACGGCACTTGCAACACAATAAGGTCATAAATATGCCGAAGAATAGATGAGTTACAAAAGACTCTAGAGTAACATACACAAAAAGGAGGCACGATAATGACGATAGATGTTTGATAGGAAAGAAGGAACAAATTACTCCAGAGCACCCACCAACCACCCACGGCCTTGGATCAATGTTCATATTTCTATATATGCCTTTGTGTGTGATCTAAATATAGGAAGAGGATCGTTTTGCAGGAAAAAAAGTCATCACGTTTTCGTCAAACTGAAAATAACAAGTGTTATCACCCCATACTTAATTCTCTGACTTATCAAAACCAGAAGGTTTTTTGTTTTTTTAAATGAATATAGGCATGCGTTCTGTATGGGTCCGTAAGTCATTCCGAACACGCCTGCATTGTTTTTATGGAAGGCGGGATGGGGCATTTATGAGAAATATTTCCTTTGGAACATTTTCAATTCTCGCTCAATGACTAAATCCAGTTTTAAAAGACAAAATTGTATAGGGAGGATGTGGAGAGGAACTCATCCAGAAGGTTGTTGTTGTTGTTATTGCTGTTGTTGTTGTTGTTACTGTTGTTGTTGTTGTTGTTGTTGTTGTTGTTGTTGTTGTTGTTGTTGTTGTTGTTGCTATCAATGTTTTATTGTCGTTGTCGCGTTGTTATTGTTGCTGTTGCTGTTGTATTGTTGCAAATTGTTTGTTTATTTTGTATTTGTTTGTTTGGATTGTTTGTTTTTCTTTCTTTTTGTTTCGTTTTGTTTTGTTTTTGGGGTGGGTGGTTCTTTGTTTGTATTTGTATGAACACTGAGAAATACTTGGGTTAACTTTTAAGTTGAGGACCGTGGTTTGATAATATTAAAATGTATTTGGGAAATTGCATAAAGGACCACTTTTCATCAACAGTTAAAATATTTCCCTGGACGAATTGTTCTGGAAAATTATCAAAAATAAGTAAAACTTGAAATCCTTTCGTTGATACAGATGAGTTGGGCCATGCTCGATTGGAATAGTTGACCTATGTGTAATAGTTAATAACTTCCCACAGTTTTTAATGGCTGTTATTATTACCGCCTCCCCTCACTTTCTATTTGAATGTCCAAACTCAGTTTTCTACGGCTGTTTTCTCGCCTTCTCCAACCCTCCTCGCCCTTCACCTCCCCTCCCTATCTCCATTTTTCCTTTCTCGTAATGGTTCTGTTTTTCCCGTCCTCTGTGTCTGTGGCCAGGCTGTCATTCAATGATGAGCCCTTGGTCTCGGCCAGCACAAGTGTGAGTACCGAGCAGGAGAACAGCAGACCCGTCATCACGGCGTACGCGACTACAGGCATGTCGTCCAGGTTGATGATGAACGGTGCCACAATGCCGCACACTCTGGTTACCACGTTGCAGAATCTGTAGCCCAGATTTTTCTCTACGGTCGGGTAAAGCTCGGAGGTACGGATCTGAAAATAGGCCATGCAGCGCCGACCATCATCTTAGCTGTTAGACTTCTCACCTACCGTAAGATCAGGGATGTCACTGTAAAACTTAAGATGGATCGAGCGAAGAAGTGGCTGTAGAAAGGCAGCAGAAAGAGTCATGAGCCCAGAAGAGGGGCAGAGGAGGTGAGGGGGGGGTCAGAAATTTGAGACAAAAGCAGACGACAGAACTTGACTAGAGAGCAGGAAAGGAGATGTTAAGAGAAATTTTGAAGAGAAGAAAACTTTCCGTCTCTGTCAGGTTGTGAACCCGTGACTTCTTGAATGAGAGGGGAACATTGTACCGGTACCTCTAGACCACGAGATCCCACTGTATATGTGTGTGTCAGGGACGGCTCGTGGGGCTAAAAAGTGGACGTACACAATTAAGCTATCGCATGCAGAAGATAGTCGAGCATATTAAATGAGACGGTTTGTAATTTTAAGATTTGGGCTGGTGAGGGAGGACCTCGTGCTTTTATTTTCATTCTTTTTACTTGTCCCTTTAATATCTAATACTAAATTTGTTTGTTAGCAAAACATCTATTTCGTTCATCCTGTATTGGAACTGAACACTCAAGTAATAACTTTCACTACTCCACTACAAAACCATTCAAAGGCACTACTCTTAGAACGGTCAGGTTAACCTCCCTCAGATTCACGGTCCCAGAGTCACTTAAAATAGTGGCAAGACAGACAATGAACCAATCACAATTCACTTGAGCACTCCGCTGGATTGATCCGGGGCTCACATAATATTTGCAAAGAATAGGCTAGTGTACGGTCTATCGCGTTTATTTTTAGACTGCCTACTGCGGGCTATGTTTCGGCATTATTCAGCAGGAGCACATTTGAGATGTGCCGTCTTATTAATATTAATGTACCGCCAAACTCGCTACCAGTGTCGTCATTGCTTGGGTTATTCCCAAGAGCGATTTATAGGACAGGTTACTCTGTTGAATATCCTATTATGTTTAGCTAAAGCGCGTGGACTTTGACGTGGCACAGTAGATTCTAGATGTTTTACAGCGCTATAGACACAGAAATGACAGTTATGGAGCCAGTGAGGACCTTGTTTTGATATAATACTTGGCTAGTGTTTGTCTCTGGCTTCTTTTATTTTATTATTGTGGGTGTTTTTATAGAAT